CCTTCCTTTTGGAGTTCAAAGATTCCACAGGAGGATTAAAGGTCATTGCTGCCATGCTGTACGACTCAAAAAGCTCAGTAGCAGTTCTATAATCATAAAATGTAAATACATACAAAAAAATAAAAATCACCATCTATGACTTGGAACTAACTATAGCATGCCCCCAAAGAAGGATTATTCTAAAAATATATGTAAGGTAATCCTACTTTTGAAACCCATCAGGTAACTCCTGCAGTGAAATCCTAACTCCTCCTGTAATGGCGACATTACAGGTTTGGGACTCACTTAGAAATCCTAGTGTGATGCACAAAGAGAAGGCTGAGCAGAAGTATTCAGACTCTAAGTGATCAATGCACACAATCACAGTAACATGACTAAGTGGAACCTGGTCACAGAGTTAGAGGTGCAAAGCATAGTTACCCTCCGTGGCCTGGACAAAACCGATTGTTAAACTGTGAGCTTGGATTAACAGTAAGCCCAGAGCATTCAATAGAGAATGCACATCTCTATCCATGACATTTGACCTAGTCCTTAGTAATTTATCATTAGTTTGAGTTTATTGTTCCAAATGGCTTTCCAAGGCCATTACTAGCAACGAGGAAGAAGCAGAGAACACAGTATATGTCCTTTGGGACCAGATGCTCATGTATGAGTCAGGATCTAGACGAGTGAAGCAATAGCAGCAGCGGAAAATCAGAGATTGACAAGACACAGCCTTAACCTCAGACTGCTACCCCAAGGGGCCAGAGCCAGAGGCCTTTTTCCAAGCTTGCTGGAGAACTGGGAGGAATTGGCAGGAATAGTAAGAAATGTTTCTAGCACTGGCCTAATGCCTTAAGGTCAAAGAGCCTACACTCATGCTTGAGGAAATGCCCTAACTTGAAGAACAGCATTCTGTTTCCAATCCAAATTGCAACCTCTTAACTTCTCTACTAAGCCTATAAATGGTAAAGGTTCTAAGAATTCTGTTTGGCCACTGCAACAGCTCAGCAAACCCTGAGCAGAGTAGAGCACGCACTGGCAGGGAGGACAGCTGTGCTGGAACTGGTAGGTACGGGAGTGTGAGGACTGGCCTGACCTCATGGAAATTGATTTTGTCTTGTGGAAGAGGACTGGTTCCCCTGGTGAAATTAGTAGAAGATTCTGAGCACACTCTTTTTACACTGAGTAACAGGCAGTAATAGAGTGCTCTGGTGGCCTGGTGGTAAGGAACTGTAATGCAATCCCAAGGGCACACGGTTCAAATGCACCAGCTGTTCCACATGAGAAGGATGAGCAATCTCCTCCCATGTGATTTACTGCCTCAGAAAACAGAAGGTCAGCTCTGAGTCGGTTCCAACTCAACAGTACACAACAACAACAATGGGCATATGGGGATTCACTGTAGTATTCTTTCCATTTTTCTGTATGTATGCATTTTTTCATCCTTTTTAATGAAATGATGAAACAAAAACAAAATCACCGTAACAATTCAAGGATACTGAGGCCAAATCTAGATGCACACCTAGCACTATAAATTTTAAAATAAATTACTTTCTGAACCATTAACTAACTTCTGCAGTTTTAGAAAAAGATAATGTTAAAAATTACCTTCTACTCAACTCTGGTCTGAGAGCTCCCGAGCCTTCAGAAGGTGCTCCTGCCATCAAGTGAGTTGCAAAAACTTGCACTATAGGATGGTAATGTCTCTGAAGAGGAAACACGAGAACAAACTGCCTTGGCCAACACTTCACAAAACATTAGCTACAGCAAAGACATTCTTCAGCTAAAATGAATTTTTAAAAATCATGTATGTATACATAATTCTTAAGAATCTCATACATTTAAAAAAATTCCCTTGGCTCATGGAATGCAATACCAATCCATTTGAAGACAAAGTTACATGCAATAGAGCTTGGTCTTGCTATGACCACATAGAAAGAAAAATATAAAAGATATTTTTATTTTCAAAGTGGAAAAAAACCAACAACTTTGTTTATGATACGTTTCCTAATGTTTGCATTTTCTACTAACTCACTGTGATTCTGTCCTTGGTGAAACCACCTTGGACTTGATCCCGTAGAAATGTAGAAATGTACCTGATAACAAGCCCTGCTCCACTGTAAACAGTGTTAGGGAAAAATCAATAAATCTCCCACAGTAAGAGTAGAGAAAAGAAGAAGGGGGGTGGAGAAGAAATTTTAGGAAATGCAGTTGCAGAACCTACTACATGAAGTCCTGCAATTAATAACAGCAGTGAGCCACAGTGAGTGGTGCTGCTAACTCAGAGGCAGCGGGGTCACTAGTGGTCTGAATCCACCAGTGCATCTGGGGCAGAAGGATGGGCAGTCTCCTCCTGTTACAAGTTACAGACCCAGAAATACAGGGACAGTTTGACAGCAGTGAGGGAGGGAGGGAAGAACAGCAACGAAAAGGTGCCACTTACCCGTAGTGCATGCAACTCCCAAAGAGCAGTGTTCTGAGCATTACAGTACTCAGGCTCATCCAACTCAGGGAGGAAGATGCCACTTCCTTGAGAGTCATTGTCAAGCAGTAAATCTGTCTTAGGGAAGGTCTGCAAAAATGCCATAGTTGTAATAAAAAATAAAGTTCGTAAGAGAACAAGAACTGCAAAGGTTTTTATAGGAAACACCCAATCTGCCTATATCAAAACAGAAATGCAGAGATACACAAAAGCCTCGCTATCTATATGTGACTCTTACCTCTGCCACTACCCACATCACGGTATGTTAATAGCAGTGATCTCATAGATTTGTGGAGAAAAGTGAGTTGGTAAAGCATTTATAGCAGTGGCAGGCACACAGTTATGAGCTATTTGTTAATCGAATAATTAAATATTTTATATACTCATAACAGAAAATAGTCATGTTTGTTAAGACATAGAAGCATGTTAAATCACTGTTAAGAGGTAATTTTTAAAAAAAGCATTTGCATGCTAATGTACAGTATAATCTTTCCATTTAAAAAAAGTGCCATGTGGTTTCTGGGAGTATTTCACATGTGTTTATATTAAAAACATTAAAAAACATGTCTGTGGGAAGAATACCACCAAATGGTAGTTAAAAAGCTTTACCTCAGAGGAGAGGCAACAAGAATGGAATGTGTTCTTTTTTTAATGTAATATATTACAGGGATGAATTACTTTGATACTTTAATCCTCTCCCATTAACATGACCTCACGGCCGCCAAGTTTCCCATCAATTCCAGTTTATCCCATACAGATTAATTCTTCAAAATAACACAAAGGAAACATTCTTAATTAAATGAGTCAAACTACTTCTTGATATAATGGAGCTTTCAGAGGATTTTTTTAAATTTAAAGTTTAAGATTTAAAGATAATCTCAAGGCAGCTTCAATGGCTTCAAAAATCTGGATTCTATTAAAATAAACACATTTGTCCCACATTTGCTCTTCTTTTGATCAGAGATTCTTGCATATAATCTCTGATCAGAAAGTTCAGAAATGGTAGCTGGGTACCATGCTGATCTTTTGTTTGATGGCAAATAAGGCAATGGAAGCAATGAAGCCTGAATTCCACTTCTTCCTTCTATTACTCCTTCTCCCTCTTCCTCTGCTGCTCCAGGCAAAAAGAGATCAACTGTTGTGCCTGGGATGGCCACTTGCAAACTTTAAGACCCCAGGCACTACACAACCAGTTTGGTATTTATAATAATAAGTGGAGGAAAAAAGAGAATGTATCAAACAAAAAAGTCCTACAAAGTACTATTATACTTACATGCATTAATATTCTGTTAGTTGCTAAAATCCCAATGCTTGCATTTGGAAGAACATGAAGAGCAAGAGTAGAAAGGCGCTTAATGAAGGCAAGGGCTCGCTGCTGAGACACCTGCTTTCTGCGCTTGGTCAGCATGACATCGAGGCACTGAAGGACAGTCTCCACACCTTTGTTGGTAGCACCTAAAACAACAGTATACCTCTCAGGGATCTTTGCATTTCTCTTACATTATGTAAATTCCCTGAATTCCATAAAAACCCATGACAAATCACATGCTAGTCAGTAAAGGAGAGCTATACTGCCAACGAGACAGACAGCATTTCCAGTCAAGTCCAAAAGCTCTTTCCAAGTTTTATATTAGGTTAAATGTAGATGTTTGGCCCTGAGAGGTCACTGCTTTATATACCAGCTTTCCTTTCTCATTTTTGACTGACTATAATTCTAGTCTTTAAAAATTATCCTTTAAGGGAGCTCTGGTGCCTAGTGGCAAGAAGCGGCACTGCAATCCCAGACATACATGGTTCAAATCCACCAGATGCTCTGCTGGAGAAGGAGGGGCAATCTCCTCCTGTACTAGTCAAATCCAATTTGACGGTATACACAAAAATAATAAAATAAGGGTGTTTTTTTTTAAAAAAGTCCTTGAAAATTAGCCATTTTGTGTTAAATATTTTTGTTGTTGTTCTGTGCTGTCAAGTAAGAACCGACCCACAGCTGATCCTCCAGCAGGTTTTCAAATTGCACAGGAAGAGACTGCTTCTCTCATCTTTCTCCTGTGCAATAGCTTGTGGATTCAAATTTTTTGCTTTTAGGAGTATTTGCCATTTTAACATAGACAGTACAGAGGCATTAAGTAAACTCACAATGCTGCAAAATAATCATTTGTATTAAAGATTAACATTTATTAGGAACTCATTACCTAAAGCAACATACCTGCATGCAACTTGAACAGTGTTTTGTAGAGATGTGTATAGAATTTCATTGGGTCAATATTGAGGACATCACCTTTGAAATGATAAGATGCATCTATTAGGTATGTTGTTACAACCTCCACAGCTAAAGCAAATAAAAACTGACTAAGGAAACACCTTACCCTGGCCAGAAAGAATATGAAAAGCAGTCTGTACACAGTGAAGACTTTCTTGGTATGTTAGGCCCTTAAGAGAGAAAATAAAGAATGTTGAGAATGATAATTACTATTTACATGTTAAAAAATAATTCATCAAGAGAATTACTTACACCAGACTCAATGAGAGAATGTAGAACTACGAGTAAATCATCAAAAAACTCCACATTTATAAGGTGAGCAAACCTAGAATCAAACAAAACTTAATTAACAGGTAACCCAAAAATATAAGCAAAGCAGCTAAATACCAGGCTTGAGTTTAAAGCTGTATTTTTAATTTTCCTTATTTCAAAATATTAGCCATTTTGGAATGATGATCATTGACACATTGCATTCATAATGACTGGCCTTTCTGACCAGTTCATCCAAGAGTGAACAATACTCAGTGAAAACATCGGAGGCACTAAAACCAAAACCAAGCCCACAGAGATCAGCCAACAGGACTGAAGACAAAAAATCATATGCAAAATTTCAACATGAAAGCATTCTTTTTTTTTTTAATTTTATTTTATTATTTTTGTGTGCATGTACCGTCAAATCAGATCTGACTGGGACTTCCCCGGCAGAGCATCTGGTGGATTCGAACTGTGCACCTCTGGGATTGTAGTTGCAGCTTCTTGCCACTAGGCCACCAGAGCTCCCCTTATGAAAGCACTCTATAAACGATTAAGGCACTGAAGCAGTGTAAAGTCAGGCTAGGTCTTCACTATTAGCTGAGAGTCTTTGACACTTTGTAAATCTTAGAATAAGAAAAGATCTTAGAAGTGGCACACTCACTGTTTAGTGGTAAATCCTTACTGGGAAGCAATCTGATACTATTTATCAAAATTTATAGTGAACACTTCAGTTTGCTCGGCTCCATGGTCAACACTGTGGGCACCAGCAGCCAGGAAATAAAAAAAACATATTGCGATGGGAAAGTCTGCTGTTAGGGACCTCTCTAAAGTACTCAAGAGCAACGGTGTCTCTCTGGAAACTAAGGTGCGCCTGATACAGGCCATGGTCTTTGCAATCACTTGTTATGCATCAGAGAGTTGGACAATGACTAGGGAGGACAGAAGGAGAATTGATGCCTTTGAGCTGTGGTGCTGGAGAAGAGTATTGAATGTACCATGGACTGCCAAGAAAACAAAACAGATTCATCCTGAAGAGGGTTAAACCAAGCTACTCCTTGGAGGCTAGGATTCTGGGGCTTCGTCTGACATACTTTGGGCATGTTGCAAGGAGAGACAGGACCTTGGTGAGGGACATCATGCTTGGGAGGGTGGAAGGACGGCGCAAGAGGGGAAGACCCTCTATGAGATGGATTGATTCAGTGACTGGGGTAATCAGGATGGGTGTGTCAGAGGCAGTGCGAATGGCACAGGATAGAGCAGGGTTTAGGGCTTTTGTACATAGGGTCGCTACGAGTCACAAGCGACTCAACGGCACGTAACAACAACAACAACAACAATAGTGAACACACACACACATGCATTATTTTTAGTACAGTACAGTACAGGGCACTGGCAATATACTATCATTTATATCTAAAAAATAGTGTATAAGGAGTTTTTTAAAAGAGAATATTATCCATACACATGAACATGGACACATACCTAGGCAATTAAAAATGTCCTAGAATATAAAACCATTAGTGTAGAAAGAGTTTAAGGATCCAAGAGGGGTAGGAGAGGTTGGAAGCAAAGGGATAAGGATGTTAGGGTTGTACAATCTGATGGGGGTGAAGGAAAATGAAATAATTTGTTTTTGAAAACAATGTATTCTAATTTTGTAAATAAACTAGTAGGAAGGGAAAAAAAAGGCATTTGATAAAATCCAACAGCCCTTCCTGATTAAAACCCTCAATAAAATAGGAATAGGAGACTTCCTCAACCTAGTGAAAAGTATATACACAAAACCAAGAGCCAACATCATTCTCAATGATTTTTTTTCACACTCTTCTGCTTCATACAAGCAGAGAGCAATAGTTGTAGCTTTGATAGGGGCTGGTTATTATTTTTTCCAGTATGTTTTTTTAGGGAAAAGAATTGGTCCCTTTACAAAAGAAAAAACACCATCAAAACTAAACAGTAGGAATGATCCTTTCTTTAAATCTTTTCAATGTGAGGTTACAAAGGAGATAGATGGATATCTTTAAGTAGAATTTGTAAAGAAGGCGGAACATTGCATACGGTTTTGATTTAGCCTTAATGAAAAAACCTTAAAGCTTTTTCATTGATTTAAAATTAACACACACACCAAGTAAAGGTGTAATATAATGAAATTTATTCCGAGTAGGAGTTGGTTCAATTATTTCAAAGTGAGGATAAACTTACATAACACAAATGTCAAGGACAAGGACAAGCTGTCTGTCAGTAACCTGGGAACTTCCTGTACCTTACAAGGAAACCTACCTTGTCTGATAGCTCTAACTGTAAAGAAATCATTTATGTTGCAGAGACACTTGGCCTTGTATTAATTTTCTAGCCATTAGTCCTATTTCTCATTTCAGTGGAAATACAAAATAAATTGGTTGCTCCTTTTACAGATATACTGTTTTGGGGTACCACTGAATTGGAGCTTATAGATGACCCCCCACTTGGTTTTCTGAGGCAGAGAATCACACAGGAGGAGAATGCCCATCTGTCTCTCACAGAGCAGTTGGTGGACTTGAACCATGTACCTCTGTGCTGCCAGTGCAATTCCTTACCACTAAGCTACTAGTAATAGTAATAAGAGGGAGTTCTAGTGGGCTAGTCAAGGAGCAGTGCTGCTAGCCCAAAGGCATGCAGTTCAAATCCACTAGCTGTTCCGCAAGAGAAGAATGAGCAGTCTCCTGTGCAATTATGGCCTCTGAAATCTCACTGGAGGATCAGCTATGAATTGGATTTGGCTCAATGGCACACAACAGTAATTACAGTAGTTAATGATCATGATGGCTATTCGGCACAGAAAATGAAACCCATCAAAACTGAGATATGCTAAAAATTCAAGACATAACATTTTTCTAAGTTCTGTCATGAAAAAAAATGTAAAATATCTCACTAATCATAATATTGGCTATTGAATGCATGTCAAAATAGTATTTTAAAAGATAATTCAAGTAATCAAGTGTAAGTAAAATATATTCAAATTTATTCTACCTATTCATTTCCACATTTTTAATGTGATATTACAAGATTTTCAATTACATATTTTACGAGTATGTACACAAGACAACTGCAGCCTTGTCAAGCAGTGCCCTGGCTGCTTCTCTCAAAAATTTCACCAATGTCAGAGAACGCAATGAGGGATCCCATCTTAGCAGTAATGGATTACACCAAGAAAGAGTACTGATGTGCAAGTGGGGCTGGAACGGGCTTCTGAGTCACCAACCACAACCCATCAAAAGGTGACTGAATAGTGTAATAAAAACAAAGAACAGAGAGAAAACTTCAGAGCGCTGAGAATTTACTACACAGAATGAAGGAGGCAGTATAGATTTAAACCTTAAGGGGGCGGGGGGGGAAGAAGAAATCAAAATAAGCACAGTTTCAAAAGGAAACAGCCATTTCAAAAAGAATGAGAACTGAAAGAAAGAACACTGGGGCATCATTAGAGAGTGCTATTTAAAATTCAAGGCTACTTGTCCATTTGGAAGGAATCTGAAAGGTTTCAACCTATGTAAGCCCTTACTTGGCAAGTCCTTCGAGAACTGCTGGCAGGAGAGGCGACCTCTGGGCCTTCTTCAAAATTCTGAAGTAAGTTACAAACACAATATTCAGAGTCTCTGTATGCTGGCAAGAGACACAGAACAAATGGCTTGAGTATAACCATCTATACTTTCTCATGAGTTAGCATCACTAGACTTTCCAGGCTGAACCTTTTTTTCTCCTTCCACCTCCCCTCCAAACTCAGTCTCTGAGGCTTTAACAAAACAATCCATTCATAATACTAGCACTGATCACGTCACCGTTTTCACACATCATACCAAATCATTTCTCTAAGCTTCATGAAATAAACCAAAAATATATAGCCACAAATGCAAACATTAAACCTTCAGTTACAATCACTTAACAAAAAACACTTTATAAAAGATAACTGAATGGGAAACTGCCTACCAGTTTAAGTTTTCTCTCGGTGCTCTCTGAAGCTTCTGCCTCCCGAAGCTCTCGCTCTAGTTTCTCTTCTGCTTTCTTCCACTGAAAAGATGAAGAGGAAAAAAGATAAAGGATTTACATTTCACTGAGTGAAACAGTATGCTTTAGAAAAACTATGTAAATAGTTTCTTTCTTCAAAAGAGGAAATTAACAGAATCCCAAAATATTTTGTATCATTTAATTACATATACCTGTGGAAGCCAGCCATAAAAAAATATTTCCCCCACTTTACCAAAGAAGACATTCAGATGGTGAACAAACACATAAAGAAGTGTTCAAAATCCCTAGTTCTAAGAGAGATGCAAATCAAAACAAGTATGAGATACCATCTCATCCAAGTAACAAGAGCAAAATTTAACAGTGCAGCAAACAGCAAATGCTGGAGAGGTTGTGGAGAAACTGGAACCCTTATTCACTGTTGGTGGGAGTATAAAATGGTACAACCACCATGGAAGGCAGTATGGAGCTTTCTCAAAAAACTGCAAATAGAAATACCATTTGACCCAGCAATTCCACTACTGGGAATATACCCTAAACAAACTAGAACTGCCATGCAAGCATATAAATGCACACTCATGTTTACTGCAGCTTTGTTCACAAGCAAAAAGTTGGAAACAACCCAACTGTCCATCAACAAACGAATGGCTAGAGAAGCTGCGGTATATTCACACAATGGAGTAGTACTATGCTGCACTGAAAAACAGGGAACTCATGAAATATACAAAATGGGTGACCCTGGAGGACATTATGCTGAGTGAACTATCTCAGTCACAAAAGGACAAATACTGTATAGTGCCACTGTTCTAAAATGGGACTGACATCGGAGTTGAGGGGAACCTAAGAAAAGGGGGGATAAATAATTTATATTGCATTGAAACTGATGAGGGAGAGAAAACTGTTTAAAAGGAATATAGGATTAGGTATTATTTTCATGACAAGATTCCAGAAAAAGAAATGCATACTAACGTGGACTGTGGACTTGGTGGGTGGGGTACTGTATAACAATGAAAGAATTTTTTTTCTTTTCAAAGAGAAAAGTGAACTGGGGCGCGCATTAGGGAAGGTGGACAGGGAAGAAAATGTGCAACAATGAATGAATGGGGGAAAAATTAAATGAGAAGGATATGCTGTAAAAAAATATATGTATTAAAAAAATATTCCCCAATCATATTTATATACCATGCATAAAGCCCTATGCGCTTTAGAAATGCAATTTAGGAATCAGTACTTTTTCCTTTTCTGCAGCAAATGATGTTGGCTAAGCTGCCTGAGGTACAGCAAGTCTTTTTCTCGTGTGACATTCCTTACTGAAGAGCCACCTTATCCTTACTGAGTCTTTCTTTCTTCCCCAACAACTATACATATAAAAGGTTACAATTATGATTTACCATTTATTTCAACCTATATCTATGCCAAGATGCTAATCTAGGAGAATACTGTTAGAATTCTATTAGATACTATTAGAATACTATAAGATGCTATTCAAAGAGAATACTTAAATCTAAAGGAAAATAAATCAAACCTTTCTCTGCATTCTTGATAGAGTTTTTCTTTTTTCTTTGAAAGTCATGAATCTTTTTGGTTTATTCATGTCCTCTGTGTCTTTTTTCACTTCTACTTCCTTGATTCTTAGGCACAGGAAAGTTTCTAACATCTTACATTAAAAAAGAAAACACAAATACACAATATTCACACTGCTCTTAAATGATGTTATCCAGAGAAGTAAGCATTTATATCTTATTTTCTTCATTCATGCAAAATAACTTAGAAACATCTTTTATCACATCTCCCACAAGAATCTATTATTTCCTAGTCAAACATATTTGGGCAATCTGATCTAAGAAAGGACTTTATTGTTTGGCTATAGAGATAAAACACTATTTGTAGTCTTGATGAGTAAAAGGAAAAGTAAACATACTACTTGGCATAAGATTACAAAGACTAGGCAGCTAGGAAAAGGTCTGAAGCAAAACAGAAACATGGCATTAGAGAAATTTCTAAACTGACTTAGCAAACCAATTTCAGTCTAGCAGTTACTGATGTTATTTATAATGCCTGCATTCAGATCATATGAAGACCAAAAAAGTCAGATGGATTAAATATTTAATCATAAATAATCTGAAAGGAAAAATAAAATCTTGAACTGGAAACTTTAAAAAAGGACAAAAATTCAGCTACATACTTAAGGAGGGAAAAAACCAAGCACAATATAAAACTAAAAAGCAGAGTGACAAACGGGGGGGGGATTTAATTTACAATATATATAAGAAGAGTCACTATCATTACTATTTCATGTAAACTCCACAATCACAGTCTGTTTAATTATGCACTTTTTCATTCCCCAGGGCTTAGACTTGTTTTATGTGGAGTCAAATAGACTCTACATTCAGCAGATACTTGGTATAATAAATGAATATAAAGATTATAAAAAAAAACAGTAAGGAAAGACAAATACACAAGAGTAAAATAAAAACACAAACAATTCATAAAAGATTCAAAGTCGATTGAAAGAAACTAAACCTCACTCATAACTTAACTAATTTAAAATTTAAATATATATACATAAAAAATATACATACATATTATTTCTAACCTACCAGACTTGCAAACATTCAACAGTATTAGTCATCATTAGCAGAAAAGTTGTGGGGCTATGACATTCACATCAACATTGGGAGCATGAATGATACAATGCTTTTGGTGGGCAAGTTAACATTATCAATTTTTTAACTGTATATTTGTTTGATCCAGTATCGACTGTTTGGAAATTTAGGTCACAGAAAATGCACACAAGTATGAAGAAAACAGGACCAAATCAGTTCCCTTAGAAACCTATCAAATAGAGGGAAATACATTCATACAATATAACATTATATTAGGAAAATAACAGTAACGTTATATCTTTAAATAGAAATATATGTTTTATATAGCCCAGGAGTTTGCCTATAAAACCTCTTTTTATTTTAAAATGTATATAAGTCTATGTCTATCCTTGCATGAAAAAAAACATCCAGGAAGATAAATATCAAACTGTTAACAGTTGTTACATCTGAGACTACTCAATTTTACAAAGAATGACTTCCTTGTAACAACTGAACATTAGTAATTTAAACACCCATAAAATGCAAAGTGGAAGCATAAAATGCAAAGTAGAAAAAAAGCAAAAGCTTACCTCTGGCCTAACTTCATAATTTCTGCCCTTCACAAAACCAGAAATCACTTTAATCACACCAAGGGAAGCTTGGCCTAACTTATCTTGTTTAAAGAGCTTCTTCACTGCTTCACAGCACATGGTAGAGATCTGAAAAAGAATACGTGACACTGACCAGTGTTCCTCAGTCACAGCACTCCTGACATTTGAGGGCAGGTTTGCTGAGCAGGGCAGTCCTGAGCATGCAACATGGTTAGAAACATTTCCAGCTTTTACTCACTAGATGCCAACAGTACTTTCCATCAATCAAAAATATCCCCGGAAACTTCACTGAATTGCATATGTACAGAATGCTAAATCATATATATGTTATGCTGTATATTATCTCAACAATGGTTTATTTAAAAAAAAAAAAATAGCCTCCCAGTATAACTTACAGTTCCCAGGAGGAAACCCAGGGCCAAAACTGCCTCCAACCGAGAATCACCACGCTACGTTTATTTTCTAATAATGTTCTTAAAGAAATAGGGCTTGATAAAGTGGTCTTGTTTTACTCATAAGTAACAGACCCAGAGAATTTTGAGAGGGGGGAAAAAGAAAACAAATAGTCTATTTTTCCTACTAGGAATAAGAACAATCATATATAGCAACGCACCGACTTTGCCACGTCATTCATGAGCGGGACAATCAATACAATAATGTTGTTGTGGAAGTTAAAGTGAGGGAGCGCCACCAACAGCTCACACAGGCTCTTCACAGCCACTTCAGCCAGTCCTTTATATGCCTTCAAGGAAACGACATTACTTTTCTTTAGCTTCCTTTGCTTCCAGTCTAGTCAAAAGAAAACTACAGTTACTTAATGATCAAAACTCAAATCTAACTCTCTTTCTTTCAATAATATGCAAGCAGTATGATGAGATTCCAAGTGTAAAACATACACCAGATCTGAAACATTAAAAAAACACTCATCCCTCACATTTCAGTAAGTTTTAACTGATTACAAGTCAAAATGGTAATTACGCGTGTGCACGTATATACAGAACCGAACCTAAGATCACTTCACTGCCTTTTGCTTTTTCTTTCAGTACTGCTACATTTTGTTAAATGGCACGTGTGACTCAGGTTCGGCTTGTGGACCCACCCTGCTGGTCCACACGGTGCTACTCTGCTTGAGTACCCTCAGAAGAGCAGACGCAGCATGTTCCTTCCAGTTGGGAGGCTAAACAACTGACACAACAATCACACTGTCCATCCCCATGACTCTCCTACTACCTTCATGCCTTTATTGGTCTACAGAATTCAACAGTCCTGATACAGGCAAGATAGCAACTGGGTGATCCAAAGACGTAACACCGGGTAAGGGCACTCAACTGTGTCACAGTAAAGCATCTGGTCTAAGCAGCTAAATCCCTTGGTCATTCATGTCCCAATTTTTCCTATGTACTTGCTATTTTAAAGAAAATAGTCAAGAATTTGATAGAAGAATTTATCATCCCTAGTAACTGACATGTAAGTTCATTTTCAAGACTTATATATATTTCAAGTTATTCTTCTCTCCTCTTAAGTCAACCAACACATAACCACTGACCACGTAAAGGGCAACAATCCTAAGAGCTGAGAATAAAGTGACTACTACAGGCTAGGATCAGTTCTAAGTGCTTTTCACCCATAAACTCAAACACAGTTACTTCTCATGACAATCCTCCAAGTTAGATATTGCTATCGTTCACATTTTATAGCTAGGAAAACGAAGGCAAAGGAAGAGTAAATCATTTGCTAATCATATAGATAGTAAACAGTAGAGATATGAACCCAACAAGTAGTCTCACTGGGTTCAAATGACCTCAGTGGCAGACACTAGTGAGGATGGCACAGGATAAGGCAAGGCTCCAATCTGCTATTCACAGGGACACTAAGAGTCGTGTTTGACTCTACGACACCTAACAACAGCAATAACAGCTTCACTCCATACTTTGTTTTAGACAGTATATTGTTTTAGACAGTATATTGCTTCACCACATAGCACAAAATATACTATTCAACTTTCAGATTATAGTTAAATCTATTACTTTCAAGATCAATTTAAAATACCTTTAACCATTTGTTCCAGATTCTCCAAATAAAACTTGTATTGACTAACCAGACCTTCTTCAAATTCTCGTAATTTCTGGGTCTCTTTGCGAATCTAAAAGGACCAAAAAGATCAGTGTTGACTTTTAAAAAAAAGTACAAATTGAGAATGCCTGCTATATATATGCCTGTGCTTTGAAACAAAGCAAATCCTATCCCTAGGTCTCCAAAACTCTTGGCTCACTTTGCCAATAGTAATTACATCAAGCATTACCTTAGTAGATTTTTCTGCTTCTGTTAGGGGTCGGATTTTATACGAGGGAGTGATGTCTTTAAATAACTCCATCAAAGAAACTATCACCAGCTTTCGAACAGTAACAGCGACATCAGGATCCTGTTCCATTAGCATGGAGCGTAATTCTTTCAATTTTTTAATCTGTCAAAAAATTAAGTTGTTAAGAGCAGAGACATCATGGTCAAACAATTATGATATGAACAGAAAACAACAGTCCTACATTTGGCATAGTTCACACAATAGCTAAACATGTCATTATTTAATTAAGTGATTCAAGATTCATTTTAAGACAAATCATCAAAGCACTGTATCAACAGTTTTAAAAGCACAGACTTTCCCAAAAAAAGTTTAAAAAGTACAAGTTTTTTAAAGTGGGTTTTCTTAAAGCAAAATTGTCCTACTTTCCTAAAAACACTTTTTGAAAGATACTGTTTTAAAACATCAGACAATCATATACACCAATCAAATACAGTAATCACATATAAACTAGAAAATCGGAATTTAAATGTATCATTAACTTTAACATTTTGTGTCCTGTAAAGCAGAAATTAAACACTAGTTTCCCCTACTGTGGTTGCGCTGATGAATTCCTCATGTTTGCGGAAGAGCCATCTAAAGAAATAATGTTCTGACCAGTTAGCAAAGTCTGCTTTGAGAAAAGATGAGAACAAATAAGCTCCCACTCATGTGCCATCCCTAAATTGTCTGAAAAAAGCATCAAGAGTCACAGTTCGAAGACCTGGGATCTAACCTAATGGATGATTTCATTTAAACAGCTGAATTATTTAAGATTCAATACCCTCATCTGTCAAGTAAGAGCAATAATCTTGTCTTTTGTGGTTGCATAGTGATTAAATGAAGACACAGGAATCCTGGGTTATGAATGGCAGTCAACGCTAAGTGTGGGTCTGCAGGGGTGCATAGAGTTCTCATGTAGCCTTGCTTTCTCTCCCTCACTATTGTTAAGCAGCTTCTGACTCATCGCTGGCCCTCCAGTGAGTGTTCATAGCTGTAAACTGCATAAAAGACTGCCCACTTTACTCTCTTGGAGGTATTGGTAAATTTGAACCATCAAAGTGCTTACTCTTTACTATGCAACCAGCCATACTTTAGGGCAAGAAAAATCTGCGAATCTTTTCAGTGATTTAAAAGCCAACACACACAGCAAGTGACGATGACTGTAATGAATTTCTTGCAAGGAGAGGCTGGTTCAATCTTTTCAGTTAAATTTTAAATAAACTGATTCCAATTAGTCCCTGCTGAAAATCTGCATTTCTACCTCAGCTACACTGAATCTGAATCTACCTGTATCAAGATCTCCAGGTGAGCTTTAGGAAAAAAGAATCACTTGGGATCTATAACATTTGGGAATTGGGAGGGCTAGGGAGTGGAAGGGCAGACACTGGTGTTGCTGTTAAAATGTAGGTGCTGATTCCACATATTTAGGCTAGAAATTAAAATTCTCAGCTGTGAGTGGAAACTGAATGATAGAATCATTGGTTTGAAGCTCCATTTGCACTCTTCCAGAACACACACACACAAACAAACCAACCCACCCAAATCCTTTGCTTTTCAGTCCATTCCAACTCAAAGGGACCCTATATGCAAAATTAAGACTCCATTGTTTCCAAGGCTGTAAGCTTTACAGAAACAGACAGCCAATCTTTCTCCCACAGAACAGCTAGTGGATTTGACCTTCTGGTCAGCAGCCAAGTACATAATCACTGTGCCCGCCACAGGACTCCTTTATGTTTCAGTCAGGACAAATTTACATAATATTAATGGGTAAGTATGGGTTGTCTCTAAGTCAGGGACTTACCGTTTAACAGAAGTTTAAAAACAGCCCACATTCTTCTCAATCCTGCTCCAAAACTTCCTCTTACTCTCTTAGAAAGGACAACTAGTAGTACTCAATCATACTCCCGAAAACTGCTATTTTCGATAAATACAGGTCTATTTTACTGTTCATTAACTACTTGTGAAAAGAAGCTGACACTGATAAGAACAGAATCAGGTAATTATATGTATATTTTTATCACTTCACCCTTTCAACAAGTCTTAAAACAGGTACTATCTTCTTTTTAAAAAACCACTACTGTCAAGTGCATTCTGACTCATCACCACCTTTCACTTGAGTTTCTGAGGCCACAAATCTTTACAGGAGGAGACTGCTCATCCTTCTCCTGAAGAGAAACTGATGGTCTTGGATAAAATGACTCATCTAAAGTTACATAGACAGTACTTAAGAGTCAAGATTGAATCTCAGATTTCCTGGGTCTGAGTGAGTAGCTCATCACCACCTTCACCACTGTACCTGTGGCCGAAGGATAATTCATTATAACTCCAGCTCTACTTCATTTAAAAATACTGTCCACTTAAAAGTGTTCCCGGACTAGTCTCACAAATTTATTGTACAGCATGTCTTATTAAAAATTAGTCAGTCTAATATGTACGCAAGTTCCTCTTACCTAAAAAAACTAACAAAATTAGGTCCAGAAATCTTCACTATGAGGAAAAAAAGACTCAGAAAATGTAAATGATTTTTCTAAGATCACAAAAAAAATTAAGTTCAGATCTAAAATTAAATTAAGGTTCTACCCACTTCCTTATTCTAACTCGGCTACAATGTTTATTTAATGCTTTTAGCTAGCAAACCTAAAACTCACCGACATTGAGTCTATTTTGATTCACTGGATTTCTAAGTCCATCAATCTTTACAGAAAGAGACTGCTCATCTCTCCTAAGGAACAGCGGGTAGAAGGGAATTGCTTGCCAGCCTTTGAATTAGCAGTGATACTTGCTACTAAACCATAAGAACTCCCTTTGTAGGTATCAGAGAGGGCGATCTGGTGGTGTAGTCTGTAGCTAAGTGCAAAGGCCTCATGGTCTTGGACAATTAGAATCCACCAGCAGCTCCATAGGAAAAAGATGGGTAGTCTCCCACAAAGATTTACAGACTTGGAAACTTGGTGGAGGATAGCTATATGTCAGAACCAATCTGAGTTTGAACCTGAAATACTACCTACATTACTCTCTGGATCTGATAACACAGCAGATGCCAAAGCTGCAATATGGATTTTCTTCTCCTGCAATTTCTTCTTTCTCTCAATTAAATGTTCTTCTATGGTCAGCTCTGGAATAGGCTCTTCATTGACCTCTGAAAGAGAGTAGATCTATCCTTCTTAAATATCCTTTATTCATAAGCATTCAAGAGTCTTTATTATTATAACAACAATGATTTATTAAGCACTTACTGAGAGCCAAAGATTCTACAATTATCACCACACAACATCCACTCAACAATCTTAGGTATCTTATTAGCCCCATTTTGTAGATAAAGAAACTGAGGCAAAGTGAGAGGAGGAAATTTTCCTAAGTGGAATTATAAGCCTGGCAAAAATGGGATTCAAGCCCAAGCAGTCTGACTCGAGGGATCATATTCTTAACCACTATTCAAATAAACCCGCAATAACTCAGATCAATTAAAGGAAAGGAAAATATTCTTTTTCTTTGTAAAAAGTATGTAACTTTCCTTTGCTTTCAACTCTGTACAGTACTCTGAACTACACAAAATATGATCATCTTAAGAAATTTATTTAAAAAAAAAGAAATTTATTGGGAACTGACTTTAATATATACATAAGTATGATGTGTAATGAGCTTGTGAAAAATGACTGGAAAAAGTTAAATAGGTATCATAATCTCATTTATACTATGAAGAAGAATTTAACTAGTGAATTTTGTTAAAATTCCCAACCCAATAATAGTTAGAAGCAATAGAATACTTCTTTCCATTTAACTTTGATGAGAACTGTTCTGTTAGCCATCTACACATACTGAGTTATCTAACACAGGCACACGCAAAAATATAGCTGCTCAAGGAGAAAAATGGTTTCATACCACAAAACTGACTTTTATAAATTCAAGTTGCAAACATTAATAGTTATTTGTCAACAAGCACTTCTCTCATAATAAAAAAAAATTTCAGAGTAACAGTAAGACTCTTCACAAAAGCCTCATTATCACATTGTGTAAATCTTTCCATACCAAATAGCAGTAAGCAATCAACCTCCGTAAGATAGCTCTTTTTTTTTTTTAAGATAGCTCTTTAAAATGCAGAAAAATATTCAAACTCCATTGTGGAAAATTCACATTCCAGGTTTTCTCTAAAATTTATTCACATTTACTATTACATACACACACACACACACACACACACACAAAAGAGGTCTCCATGTGTAACTTATAACTTAGTAACTGTAAAGAAGTCTCATTACCTTCCTCAAGCTCCATCTCTTCTTCCTGTTCCTCTTCGTCTTTGTTGCTGTCAATAACTATATAGAAAGCAAATGAATTAATCAGAAATGTGACACTATAGTTCAGTGGTAAAACTATAAACAAAAGCAGGAATGCGATTACCAAAAGACAGGTAAGTAAAAGTGTAAGAGAAGCTCCTGAGTGCTGGCATCTCTTGCCTAAATGATTGTTTCACAGGGATGTGTTTTGTGAGAAAGGAGTCCTGGTGCATAGTGTATACTGTGTCAGGTGTGTAGACAATATAACTTCACATCTACTAATAGATGGCAGTGAGAAAACTCAATTTAGAAATAATTCAAATACTTTTTGACAAGAAGGTCATTTGTAGCTTATAGCTTAAGTGGAACTCACAGTACAATGGATACGTGAGATATCTGTAGTTCTGGCCCCGATCTTCAGATTTATTACTAAATAGGAAGGTGAACTGAAGCTGTCCTTGTTTTGTCAATTATTTTAAAATTAAAATCAAACTTTGACAGAAAAGAACATGTGATAATATTTAAAATGCGCTGAAATTTTAACCAATTAAATTCAAAGGAATAAATTCACCTGGCTTCTCCCTGGTCTGTGGAATTATACCACTTTTATCTTTGATAGGAAGCAAGTGAATGAGCTCCTTCTCTGGTTCACTTTGCAGAGTTCTTGGTATTTTTTCGTATTTTTCTATAATGCTCTCATGCTTTCGTTTCTTGGCATGAACAGGCTCACTGAGGGAGGAAAAAAAGTTTTACTAGCTTACATCATTTTATATACACTTTAATGCATTTAAAAAACAACCCACCAAAGATAAAACATTCTGAAAGTACAGAAAAATAAACCATCACAGTCAAACATTCAACAGGTATAGACAGACATTAGCACCTAGACCAGAGGCTGGCACTCAATCTGTAACAGGAAAAAATCACAGAGAGAGTCTAAGTTCAAACTATGCCTACATCAAATTTTCCTTTCACGATAAAAACTCAAGGTTGAACTCTCAGCAGATCTTTTTTGAAGACTTCTCCAGAGTCAAAGAGTGACATCATGGTCCCAGATGATCTGTTCTGCATACAGACTGAAAAGGTCTGGAGACAGAATACATCCCTGGCAGATGCCCTTCCCAATTTTGAACCACGCAGTGTCTCCTTGCTCTGTTCTGACAACTGCCTCTTGTTCCAAATATAGGTTTTGCATAAGCCAATCAAATATTCTGGGATTCCCATTCTTCTCAGCGTCAGCCACAGCTTGTTGTGATCCAGTCAAAAGCCTTCACATAGTCATTCTCTGCTTTCTGCCAAGGTCCATCTAACATTAGCTATAATAACCCTAGTATCACGACCTCTTCTAAACCCAGGCTGCACATCTGGCAGTTCTCTGTTGACATGTTGCTCCAGTCGTTTTGGGGTAATTTTCAGCAGAATCTTGCTTGCATGTGATATTAATGATATTGTTCAATAATTTCTGCACTCTGTCGGGTCACCCTTCTTTGGAATGGGAACAAATATTGATCTTTTCCAGTCAGTTGGCCAGCTGGACGTCCTCCAGATTTCTTGGAACAACTTAGCACATCCAGGGTAGTATGTGTTTGTTGAAAAATGTCAATTAGTATGCAGTCAACTCCTGGAGCCTTGTTTTTTGCCAATTCTTTCAGAGCAACTTGACCTTCCTCCTTAATCACCACAGGCTCATACATTACTTCATGAAATTCTTCTGTGTCAGCCAATTCTTTCTGGTACAGTGACTCTGTATACTCCTTCCATCTTCTTTTAATGCTTCTTGGATCATTTAACACTCTACCCAAAGCATCCTTAAGTACTGCCACTCCTGACTTGAATTTGTTTTCAACTCCTTCAACTTAAGAAATGCTGAATGGCAAGCTCTGGTAACCTAGTGGCAAGAAGCTGCACTGCAACCCCAGAGGTGGAAAATACGATCCACCATGGAGAAGGAGGGACACTCCCTCCTGTACCAGTCAGATCCAATTTGATGGTACACACTCACACATAAAAATAAAACAAGTTAAAAAAAGAAAAGAAAAGAAACGCTGAGCAAGTTCAGCCCTTTTGATTTTCTGACTCCAGCTTTTTGCAGATTTTATTACAGTATCTTGCTTTGTCATCCTGAGCTGCCCTTTGAAATTTACTATTTAGCTCTTTAATTTCTTGATTTCTCCACACTTAGACTAGCACTTAAACTAGCAGACATGGCAATTGAGACTGAGATCTCAGATATGGAAACACAAAGGAGGAACAGCTGTAAGCAGACACTAGTGATTGGAATGTGGAATGGGAGAAACATGAATATGAATGTAGGAAAACTGGACGTTGTTAAAAAGAAATGGAATGCATAAATATTGACTGACTAGGTATTGGCAAAGTGAGATGGCTTGGGATGGGACATTCTGAATCAGATTATCACGTGATCACATGAAGAGGTGAGAAAAAATGGGGTTGGTTTCATAATTTAAAAAGTCATTTCTGGATCCATCATTAAATACAATGTGGTGAGTGACAGGATACGTATACAAGGAAGTCCAATGAATACCACTATCATTCAAATATATGCACTGACAACTAGAGCCAAAGAGGAGGAAATGGAAGATTTCTACCAACTGTTGCAGTCAGAAATTGATCGAACATGCAATCAAGATGCACTGATGATAATAATGGGTGACTGGAACGCAAAGTTGGGAATAGGGAAGGATCAGAAGACGGAAAATATGGATTCGGTGAGAGAAATGAGGCTGGAGATAGAATGATAGAATTTCTCAGGGAGGAGTGATAGGGAATGGCAAAGGACACACTGACAAAGAAGATTAATCAGAACTGGCTTTGACAAGCACTGTGGCATTTGGACAAGAACAAACTGGGAGGAGGGTAGAGAGAATAGTGCAACAATGAATGAATGGAAACCCAAAATCTCTGTAAATGTTTATGAAAATTAATAAAATATAGAAAAAAAATAAGGAAAGGAAAGAAAAAAACCAAACAAACAAAAAAAAAGAATGATAGAATTCTGCACATTCAGTGATATATTCATTGCAAATGCCTTTTATAAGAAACATAAACATACAAAAAAGAAACATAAACACAGGCTATACACATGGATTTCACCTGATGGTATGCATAGGAATCAAATTGATTATATTTGTGGAAAGAATTGCTGGAGAAGCTCAATATCAGCAATGAAAACCAGGCCAGGTGCTGACTGTGGGACAGACCACTAACTGCTCATATGCAAGTTCAAGCTGAAGTGGAAGAAAATGAAATCAAATCCACGGGAACCAAAATTTGACCTTAAGTCTATCCCAGCAGAATTTCAACACCATCTCAGGAACAGGTTTGAGGCCTTGAGCACCATTGAGTGTAGACCAAATGAGCTGTGGGAGGATATCAAGAATATGGTCCATAAAGAATACAAAAGATCATTACAAAGGCTAAAGAGGAAGAAAAGACCAAGATGGATGTGAGATGAGACTCTGAATATTGCATTAGAGCACCGAGAAGCCAAAGTTAAAGGAAGAAATCAAGAAATAGAGGTTTACTGTTTGTAAATATTGTGGGGAATTGCATGGAATGTACACATCAGGACCAAGTTTTTAATATTAAAATGAGGTAGAAAAGAAATATAACCAATATTATGAACTGCCTAGTAGAAAATACTGAACTAATATATATATTTCATCCCTCTCCTCCCAGCCCCCTACCAAAAAGTGTGACCATCAATGAACCTTTACCTTGAAGAAAGATCTCTCGTTAGAAAAGATGCTCTTTGTCCTAAATCCCGCATTAGCTGTAAGTCATCTTCATCCATCATATCTAAAGGAAGGGCCTCCTCTTCTTCCTCCTCTTCTCTTTCAATCCTTTTACCTGTTACACACAAAGAAAACGAAAAAAAAAAAAAATTATTAAAGATGTACAACTCACTGCATTTGTGTCTATTATAAGTATATCCAGGCATTCCTAATACTCCAATGTTTCTAGATGGGGCACTATTGATAAGTTAGACAGGACAACTTTGTTGTACTGGGGCACCTGTGCTAGGCAGGACAACAACAGCACCTGACATGACGGAAGCTCTCCCAGGTAACAACCAAACTTTCCACATACTCTGAATTCCCTTTCTAGGCATTTAAGAACCAATAACTTGGCCCTTCAGCTTCTACTCATCTTCAATGACTTTCACTTCTTTCCACTTTAGCTGACACTCAACCATCATCATATTTTTGCAGGTGCAGGTCCTAGAAATTAAGTGACTTGGACCTAGGACACATATTACTACAAAAAGAAAAAGAAAGAGAAAAGCCCAAGTTTTCCAACTGCCAGTCCACTAACCTTCCATCCATTACAACATTATTTGTCAAAAAAGCCAAAATGAAAATGTCAAGTTAAGAAAGTAAGATGATATGGGCAAAGTCCCTAAAGAGTTGTTCAATAATTACTGTTGGCTGTTTTCAAAGTCATTCCCATGTGTGTAAAGGTGAACTGCTCTATAGGGAGTTCAAAGCTATAAATCTTTATGGAAGCAGAGTGCCTCACCTTTCTCCCATGGAGAGAACTCCTACCCTTCTAGCTACTACTAAGCCAAACACTTAATCATTTGTGTCACCCAGGGAGGGACAGAGAAATAGAAATACCAAAAAAAGAAATACCATGAATGTTGTTTTAAAAGACCTGGCCTAAGTCAAAATGATATCATTTCTTATCTGTTTTGAGAAATAAAACTTTTGAATAGTTTTAAGAAAAATGACAAAATAACAGCCTAAGAGTCTAAAGAAAAAGAAATACAAATGTTTAGAAATTTAAAGAAAAGAACCAGTGAAAAATGAAGTTCACACCAACTGCCAAAAAATGAAAGGTGGCAGCACTGGCAGGTTGCCCATCATTTATTTACATGGCTACTAAATCTGTTTTCCCAAGAACCATATGTTGAGGTTTGCTGTCAAGACAAATAAGAAAGAAGAAAGAAAAAAAGGATAAATAAGCAGAAGTTAGCTCTTCCTCACAATTTGAATTGTGGTAAAACATACAGGACTACAATTCTCACTGACTCCTAGGAAGATCTAAGAGCCAGAAATGTGATTATTATAAGACAATTTCTATGAAGTCTCTCTGTAAATAGATCAATGGAAACTAGAGAACATGAATGCTTTCACAGTCACCTGGACGTTTGTCCTTTGGGTCCTCCAAGGGGACAGGTTTCTTTGACACAGCATCTCTTACAGCTTGCCTCAGTTTCCTCTGTTCTTTTCGATACTTCTTGAGAGTACTCTGTTGTTTGAATTGCTTATTTTTTAGCTTGTTTTCAAGTTTGACCTTACTAGTTTTTATCAACTTCCGAAAGCTTGGGACTTGTTTTTTGTTTCTTCTCTATAAAACAGAAAAAGAAGAGCAATGCATAAATGGAAATTATATTGTTTTTACAGTTCTGTTAAGAATTGATTATACATGTCATCAGATCAGTTAGTTCACAAGTTCAGTCTGTCACAAGTCTTGAAATCAAATAATGTCACTAAATGGCCAGAGCATCGGTTTATTCAACCCATAATCTTCCTCCAACCAAAACGCACAACTAGTAAATGGAATTTAAGGTGCCAAGAAGCCCACGGTTCTTGATCTAGTGGTAAATGCTTATTCAATGTTAGTTCAACATCAACAGTTAAGCACATGCAGAGTAAAATGCTAGCCATTTTCAACAATGATAACTGACATTTATAGGCTGTTTTACTGCTTACAAAGGGAGCTCTGGTGGCTTAGTGTGAAACACCAGACTATTAAGGAATAGTTAGACAGCTGGAATCCATCAGACCTGTGGACCAATGATTGGCAGCCTGACTCCTCGCATATAAATGTTCAACCTCCAAAACCCGATGGAGGGTGATTATGAGTGGGAATCCACTGAGATGGCAATTAAGTTTGGTTTGGTTCCACTGCTGACAATGTGCTTCAATGCATTATCTCTAACTTCATTAAGTAATGATAGCTGTTATCTTCACATTACAGACGAACCAGCTAAAGCTGAGACTTTATGTGACTTAGCAAAGACCTCTAGCTGTGGATAAAAATTATTTTAGACCTTTAGATTCTCAGCCTTGTTGCTTTGTTATGCTCATTCATAAATCCAGACACCAGGGCTAGCTTTCATTCTCTGTGATAAAGTGACTTAATAACTTGCTTTGCTATCATCTTACCCTTCAGGAGGTAAAGACTTGTCTTGGATCCCAAGACTCATACGTGTTGAGAGGAGTCAGTTTGTCATACAGTAATGAGGAGTCTGGAAGACAGTCTTAAAACTTCCCAAAGTCTGACATCTTATGAATGCAAGCCTCCCTTACTTGCTTGATCACAGCCTCTGGCAGCTGTGCTACAGAGACTAAGAACGAGTTCTATCTAAGGATCAGAAAGCTCACAGTACAGAGGCCAAAAGGAGTCTGAAAGCCAGCTCCTGTCCCACACCGAGCAGCGATTCTGTCAGCCAAAGGGGTTGTTTGAACGCGAGTAAAGAGCTTTAGAAGATACTTACGGCCTTCATCCTTAGGTATGACGGGATCGGTGTCTGACAACCTTACCAGATGCAAAAAAAAAAACTAAAAAAACAAACAAAAAAAAACCCACCAAAAAAAAAAGATTAAGAAGTTAACTGATCCAGAGACCCGCAACAAGACAACACACGTGCTTTAGCTGCCAAAGTTGCCCAGACCGGAAGCTGCCTCCGGCCCCGCCCATCTGTCGCCGCCGGAAGTTGGGGCGGTACTTCCGCGGGCTGGCTCGGGCACGCGCCCTCTCGCGGTGGAGATCCTGCGGGTGGGCTGTACCCTCCGAGTGCGCGCTCGGAGCGCTTTGAGGAGCGCGAGCCCGAAGGCTTGTGCATCGGGCAAACTTTCGGGTTGTGTCTGATCCTTTGACTCTCTCACGGTATTTATTGCTTTCAGTGCCTCTCCTCACGTTATTTCATGCCTCTTTTCTCTTTCCCCCACACTTCCCCCTTTCTCCCTCTTTTCCCCATTTCCCCAGGCTGTCAGTAGTCCATCTTCCTTCCTTTTGGAGCTCCGGTGACTTAATGTTAAGGAGATGCTCTGCCAACATAAAGGAACACGGTTCGAAACCACCAGCCCCTGCACAGGAGAAAAATGGGCAGTTTTTGTCCTGTGTCATTTACTGCCTCTGAAAACCCACTAGATTATCAGTTACGAGTCTGTTTTGACTCCACAGTACAGAACAACAGCTGGTCCTTGTTAGATTAGATGTCTGCCTCCCTCCCTTCCATTACTGGTTCTTGTCTGTTTACATTCTAACGTGTTAGAGAAAGGTTGATTTCCTTTTGCCTAAAGCCTTATTTAGGGAGTTCTGGGGGCTTAGTGGTAAGGAATTTTTGCAACCTCAAAGGCAGGTGGTTCTATCGATGGCTTTCCACTCAGTGGGACGCAACAACACAGTCTAACGTCAGCCTGGCACATCCTAATCACTCTGTGGAGTGAGGTCTCAAGATCCTTCCTCCAAAGTCTGTAATTCCTTTTGTTGCTGTTTTTGTTGTTAAACATAGCCATTTCAGTTGTTTCTATGTGTACAATTCAGTAGGTTCATGTTGTGTGGCCATTCTCGACCTTTCCCAAGTTGATCCTGCACCATTGTCCTAAAACCACATGCCCCTGAAGTTACTAGAGAATTTCTGGAGTTGCTCTTGTCACTTTGATTCCACATAGCTAGTTCATGAAAGAGCATAATCCTCAAAGCAGACTTCTTTTTTATTTTTAACTAAGGCTAAATTGTTGTTTGGTTTTAAGAAGAATTCGGGAATATTTTAGGTTTAAAAGTTTAAAGATTCTCTGAAGGAATGGTTTTAAAGGCACATACAACCTCTGGTTAGTTCTTCCAGAAATTCTGCTTGTTTGTGGATAATCTTTAGCAGATTTTACTTGCATGTGACATTAAAAGTTGACCCGTTTTGGGGGATGAGAATAAATACAGATTTACATCATTCATCAAGGAATATGTCCCGTGGTGCCTGCATCATGATAGCTGTACATTTGCTTGTCTTTAGGGGTGCAACACTTACTTGTCAGTTTCTTGTTTGGGGGGAATGATTTTAATCTTACTGCTTTTTAGAGTTTAGATATGTACATGTGTTTATCTTCTGCTCTTAAGTGTACAGCAGTTGTCATTCGTTTTACTATAACAGAGCTCCTACATTAAGACAGAGTAGGAAGAAGTATTGACCATGCACTTCTGAAACAACAGGCTTTTGAAAACCTTATGAAAGACAGGAGAACACTACAAATTAGTTGTACAATTAAGATGTTCTTTGATACCAAGACTCTAAACCTCCAAGCTAGGAAACTAAATCCAGTGAATCTTGGTTGTGTGGAACCTCAGCAAGGACATTTTTTTTTTCAATGAACATCTACAGAGATTTTGGAATTCCATTCATTCATTGCTGCACTTTTCTCCCCGCTGACACCCCCCCCCCTTAGCTCCTCTCCTTGAAAAGCAGAAGAAAACTCCTTCATTGGTACACATTCCCCCCCACACACACTCCCACCAACCCCAACCCCACCCCAAATATAATCCACTCTGCAACCCTCATTCCATACTCTTATGATAAACATAGTACACTATAATATAATACTTTTTTTAAACTATTCTCTCCTCATAGACTTCAGTGCAGTAAACATAATTTATCCAGTTTTTCTCAGTTTTACCCCCACCCCAGTGTCAGCCTCTTTCTACAACAGTGGCACCATATAGCATTTGTCCCTTTGTGACTGAGATATTTCACTCAGCATCATGTCCTCCAGGGTCACCCATTTTGAATAATGCATGAGTTCCTTGTTTTTAATGCAGTGTAGTATTCCATTATGTGAATATACCACAGCTTCTCTACCCCTGCGTTTGTTGATGGGCACTTAGGTTGTTTCCAACTAGCAAGGACATTTTTTAAAGTTGTTATTGCAAGGATATCTCACAACTTTCCTTTTAAAGCGTTATAGTTATATCAGTGAGACTCATCTGTATTTTACAACTATTTACTTTGTGGAAAGTGTCCCTTCAGACATGTTATCAGGAGGAGCAGTCCCTGGGGAAGGATACCGTGTTTGGTGGAGTGTCAGTGAAAAGAGGAAGACTGCCTGCATGCAGGCACAGTGTCTGCAGCAATGGACTCAAACCAAAACCAGCCCTAAACACGGCACCTGGGGACATGTCCTTCTGCTTTCACAAAGTTGGTGAGTCAAAACTGACAGCTAACTAAGATGAAAAAATCCCTGAGTAGTGCAAACTAGTTAGCATGCTCAGCTGTTATCTACTGGCTGGAGGTTTGAATCCACCCAGAGGCAACTTAAAAGAAGAAAGACTTGTCAGTCTACTTCTTAAAAATCAGCCACTGAGCCCCTATCAAATGTAGTTTTTCTCTGTCACATGAGTCAGAGTCTACTTGATGGCAGGTTATGAATAGAATTTACTTTGTGTAAAATTCTGCTGCCACTTAGAGATTCTGCCATACCAAATTAATTCATTTTAACAGGAAGATGAAAATATATAACATCATTGATGTTATTCAATATGCTTGTCAATTGAAAACTTTTCTAAATAAATTTAAATATTCCACTTTAGGTTATGAGAGAAAACAAGACTTTGATACTAGAACACAACTTCTTCCTCCGTACTGAGGCTGGCCCAGCAAGTCCTAAGTCAGGTGGGAGAAGCCAGTAGAGGCATAATGGGTTTTCATTTTAGAAGCTGAGAAGAGGCTTGCCAATTTCTGGGTCTCGCCTAAATACGAAGAATCCCATTCTTCTAGGACTTTTCTTTCTGCCTCCCTCCCAGCCTTCCACTTTGCTCTCTTTCCTCCCCTGAAACCTGGCAAGTCCAGTGGAGTATTACTTCATCAAGGAAATTGAAATCATCAGCATCAACTCTTCCCAAGTGCCTGAATTTTTTTCTAAATTTATCAGAATATCAGTCGTAATTCCTGTCCTCCCTCTAGTTTCTTTCAGGGTGAGGCGTCTCCATCCAGTTCAAAGCCAGCTCTTCAGCTCCTCCCAATTTCATCAGAATCTTGTATCATTAATTATCCTAATTCTCCAGTGCTCTTTTCCTCACCTCCCTAACTAATCCCTTCCCCCTGCCCCCAAAATATGTTAATATTTTTTCCATACTTGACTGTTTGGTTTTTTTACTGACTCTCCTCCTTAATTGCTGTTTTGTCTTCCTCCTTCCCTGCTTGTCCATAATCCTGGGGAAGGGGAAGGGGACCCAGGGGAAGGGGAGGTGAGTGAGAAGACAGTATTCTTCTGATGTCTCTACTTCCTCCTTCCGCTTCATTAGCACAGCCCAAGCCTGTATTAGCTTTTTGGGGAACTGTGTCATATACTTGGCTCATTTTAAGTTTATAATGAACTAAACCCTCTGGATCATTTTAAAGAAATTATTGCCAAGTGAAAATTAATCTTGAATTTGAACAATAAATTGTTTGCACTCACATTTACAGAGTTTCAATATAGCTGGTTCCTAAATTCTGTCATCTCCAGCTTTGTATCATCTCCCATTCACTCAGCCCGCTATTGATCTCAGTTTGGGCTCCAGATCTCTTAGATGCTCCAGAGGTAGGTCAGGCAACTCAGAGGCCACTTCCCCACTGTCTTCAGAGTTCCACAGAAGGATTGAGTTCCATCTGCAGAGATTACTGACTCATCACAACATCTGTATTAGTGTCCTCCCTCAGTCTCACTTCCCCATCCTCTTTTGACTAGATTTCAAAATGAGCCACTTTCCACTCAAATCCTTGACGCAGAATCAAAGTTGGAAGACACTCGCCTAAAACATCTACCATCTATTGAACAATTGTTCAAATTCCTTTAAAATAAATCATTTTTTTTCCTCACATTAATAGTGGAAAATACTAGCTCCATTTTAAAGTGGGTAACTCCAAGAGTTCATATTGTAGCAGAGCAAAATATGAGTTTATACTTAGTGGGAAGGAAGTTCAACCAGATGTCCATCTTACCAATGGAAGTGGTTTTCTCAGCAAAAAGAAACAAAATGTTTTATACTCATTTCCTGATCTGCAATGTTATAACTCAGGGAAAAATTAAGTGCTGTTTTGCCAGGGTTGTGATATATAGTTTTCTCTACTTAAGATTTTTTTTTTTTTTGCTGATCAGTTTAACTTCCAAGACATGACATTTTTTTCTTCATTTCCTTGCATGCGCTGTTCAGAACCATACTTTAATTATTCATCACCTTTCAAAAACACTAGGAAAGGGGAAGTAGGTCTCACACAGAAAGTCATGCACAGTTTCTGGGAGCCCCTTCTGGGCAGCAATAATTCCTCACCCTCCACTCTGTACCAGACTCTGCTAGGAGATCACTGTGAAACCGTGTTCTGTAAAACAAGGGCTTATTGTTTCTAGTCCTCCCTTCAAAAACTGCTGGGAAATACAGCTGAGGAGGAAGAAGATTGTAGAATGAAGCCAACATCCAAAGTAGCGTGTCTAGGACCCTTACATCTTCCACAATGCCACCCCCTGTCAATTCA